TTCACTTGTAAAAATCAGCTAGATGGAGCAACACAAAACTTCATACGGAGTATTTAAAAATCTTAGAAATTTTGGAAAACAAATGAAATAACAATAGATATTATCATCTTTATTCATATACGGTGTACAATTCACACTTGTTTTTATTATATATGTGGATTTAGTGAAGGACACTAAACAAGCGCCTATTATTTTCAAGACTCCTCACTCAACAGAAATCGATGTTATTTGTACAAACTCCCCACTCAACAAAAATTGATTCTCATCAGACCCTGACTCGGTTCTATCCAAGAAAACATGGAAATGATCGTAGCGAAGAGAACGCTGCCAACAAAAAGTTAAACGATGCTAAGATTGAGATGTGACTGATTTTTCAGGAGTTTTGTTTTAAATGTATTATCTACATTGATATTCATTTTCATTCATGGGATTCATCAATACTTTAACAACAATTTCATAAATACTTTTTGATAGAGTGTTATTAAATTCACGAGAGTACCATAAGAGTTTTGTACTCACTATTAGAGAACTACTTATGAATTTCTTTTTAGGAAGCAACAAAAGTTAGATTATTCTCGCGATAATTAAAGATGAGACTGTTACAAGCAGAAAGATATGAGACTCTTATAAGTAGATCATGAAAATTGTTAGATTATTAGAATCACATCTTTCTTCAAAATATTATAGATTTATAGATATGGATCTTGTAGGGAAAACAACATATCTTTTAACTTCACATGAGCTAGACTAATCCAATAAAAACCCAAAATGGGGAGGATAAAGAACTCTTTTGGATTAACCTAACCTAATAGCATGCATCTTTGGTGATGGACGAGGGATTACAAAGCGGGTAGGGAAGGATTCAAGAGTGTTGATCCAAGATTCTGTTAGTATGACAATGTTTAACATAGTTAGAGTGAGCGGTAATTAAAATTGAGATTTTATAGCTTTTTAAATTGCTCATTAATGACTTAGTTAAGCAATAAGTTGATAGCTATGATTTCCCTATGATACAATGAAACGAAGATTTTAGCTAATGATATAAAAGAGTGAATGAGCAGATCTGAAAAAAGATCTTTTAATTCTTATTAACAAGTTTATCCTTCAAAGAACATGAGATTTTCAAAGATGACCGGTGAGCTAGATGAACTAACTATTCAATGCTTTGTCAATTGGATTTTATGGATTGAGGATTGTGCTTTACAAAAACTCATGATAGATTATCACTTTTCGATAAATCGGATGATATGATTGTTCCAATGGCATTTGGTCTATTTGAATCTATTGTTCAAACTATATATCATGATTTTTAACTCAGAGTGATCCAAGTTTTTTATCTTTAGTCAAGGGCTATTATTTTTTTGAGCAAAGATAAGGTTGATAAGCTCAACAATAACATGTTATATAAAATATATTCGAGTTAATGACTTATCTAAATCCAGGCTTAATTTTTTCATCTAACTCAAATAGGGACTTATTACAAGAGATACATTCTCCTGAGTTTCTAACTAGAATTAAATCTTCAGATTTTCGAAATCATGGGCTAAAGCTGAAATTGGGGGGTTTTATGATGCTTGTGAGAAATATAAATTATTCATATGGATTTTGCAATGACACACGGCTTATGGTTACTATATGACATAAGAGAAATGCCAATGAAAAATTTCTTATTCCTCGACTTATTTTAACACCATTAGACGTTAGACTCTCTTTCACTTTTAAGTGTAGACAATTTCTGTTAACGGTTAGTGATTCAATGACCATTAATAAGAGTTTGGAAAAAGGTTGGAATCTTCCTCTGTTGGTTTGTTTTTACGAATGGACGGTTTCACGTGATGGTCTCGAGAGTAATATGTCTATCAGAGTTAAAGTTTGTAATATGTGATGAAGATGAATAACCAACCTTTTGAACGTTGTATATAAAAATGTTTATAGTTATTTGTAGTTTGCCTTGACAATTTCATGGATATACATGTACAACACCTACTTTATCACATGATGATTCATATTTAACTTCAAAAATTATTTTTTAATACCTTACTCCCTACGTATTGAAATGCTTACTACATTAGTGTTTGACACAACATTTAAGAAAAAATAATAGGGATAATGAATTTACCAAAAATGGTAAGTGTAACAAAATTAAAATACATCTCAAAAAGAAAGTATAGCAATTATTTCAATACAATGGGAATATAAAATATGACTTCTTATTTTGTTTTATGTTTTTAATTACTTGATTCATTATCAATTTATTTTTTATTTTTAATATAATCGATTCAAAATTTTACGTAAGTGCTTCACTCCCGTGCAACACACTGGTGGAGTAACTAGTAAATATAAAGGGAAGGCAATTTGTAAAAGGGCAGGCACTTCCACTTACGATCAACTTTTTATTACAAAGCCATCATATCAATATATTTTAGCAGCTAAACTTTATTCGTTCATTATTCAATTATTATTACTATTATTCATTCCCGATCAGTTCATCTTCGATTCTTGTTTGCTTGATTCTCATTTCATTCATATTCTTAGAATAGTTTATTTTAGCATTAACAATTTGGCGCCGTGTGAGAAATTCTTGCAAAAGAAGAATCGATCATGAGTCATGACCCAAACCAATCCTTTGGTGAACAAGCTCAACGAACGCATGGAGGTAATGAGAGAAGAAATCTATCGTGAGATGGCGGAACGGGTAACTCACCTTCAACAAGAAAGTGATGTAATGCGGTCTGAGGTGCAGTCGGCGGTCTGTATAGCATCAAATCAAGAAGCAACCGCAGGAGCGAAGCCATGGCCGCCGCTACCAGGTTGGACCTAGGCTTAACCCCCGCCGGCCACGACGGAACCCCCGACCATCACAAAGGATCCCGTCTCTCTTGCATTGGGTTTGTCCCCAATCGGGGATCCTCAATCCAAGAGACAACGAGTTCCGGATTGTGTTGACATCTCCCGACATGTCGACATCAATAACTAGAGACAACGAGAGCCTAACGTCATCATCATACCCTCTCCAACTAGGCAGGAAGTGACCGGAGTGATGACACCACCAATTCCGGCGGCGAGAGAGATGCAGACAGCTCAGGTAGACCCAATGGTCATCATCATGGAAGAATTGAGAGAGATGCGGGAAAAGATCAATGGCATACCCGGAGTACCGCCGCCACTGGACATTGCTTCACAAACATGTTCCGCAAATTCTCCTTTTGGACGACATATCACTAATGTCGAGATTCCGAGAAAGTTTGCCGCCCCCTCGATGAAGTTATTTGATGGAGCTTCCGATCCCGTGGAACCCGTCGCTCAGTACAAGCAACAGATGCTAGCCATCTCGATTCTTGTTTGCTTGATTCCCATTTCATTCATATTCTTAGAATAGTTTATTTTAGTATAAACACACTCTACTTAGGAATTTTTCTTCACAAAATGTTGTACGATAGTCTACAGGGTGCAAATTCGCATCCAAAAACTGAGGCGAAAGTCAAAACTTTCCTACTATTTAAGCCTACTATTTAAGGACGTATGAAAAAGCAAAAGTGTGAAGTTTCCTGAATTGGTAAGATATATATCCCCTATTCCCCTAAAGTGCATTACGAAATTTATGACGAGACTTGGGTACAACATATCAATAAAGGATAATAGTTAGGGATGATATGATCCAATGAAAGCAGGAAAATACAATAACTCATAAAGATGCAACTAACAAACAGATTGACATCTCCCGCAACTTTGACTATATATACTCATTCAATTCAGGTAGGTGTTTGTGAAAAAAACAAAAGTAGTTTTTTGTTATTAATTTTCCCGCAATAAACACCTTTTAATTTATAAAGGTATATTCTAGCACCTGTTAGTATTGGTCTATCAAAAAAGTAAAACGTGTACCTCTATATTTAAAAGTTCCTTACACTTTCCTTTTTGGGATGTATTTAAAAGTTTGCCTCACTTTCTCTTTTTGGTAAATTTTTCCTTTAAAAATACTCAATTACCCTTACTTTTTCTATTTTTTATTTTCTTTTTCCTACTTTTCCACATTCTCTCATACTTTTTCTACACTATTCATTACTCCTACTATTTTCTCCTAAAACATTGTGTCAAAAGCTATTGTAGAGAACATATAAATACGGTGACGAAATAATCTATTAAATAGGGTAAATGCATACTCTTTCCTAATAGAGGTGTAACTTTAAAATTAAGAGTTCCTTATTATAAATTATTTCTTCTCTAATAGTATATGAACGTAACTAATAGTATTATAGTTAAAATTTAATGTGATCGAAATGTTAAATGTGGGGTCAAAGGTTCCATTGATAATCATATTGAACTAGAAAACCCATTGTTTAATATGATAAAACTTACTCCGTATATTGTATTCAATTTTCAACTAAATAGATGATAGATTGGAGTTTGAGTTATTAACTAATTGTAACCGCTAACTATTGATTAAATTAATACAGTTTGATGTTTTTCTTTAAAGAAAACTAACTAAATGGGTAATAGAGCACACCATTGTCCAGGCATTGATGAATTAAAGCGACGGAAGCTCCTAATAGAAACAAACTGGAGACGTAAATTGATGAGAAATGGCTTCGAGTTAAAGCGAATAGCGGTTAGCGGGTTGTCAATAGCGGATTCAGTCAGCGGCTTTGACTAACGGAATATATTGACGGGTTGTCAGAAGATGTTTGGTAATTTGGTTGTTTGGCCATAAAATCATTAGACAATGTCATTTTTCAAACCGCCAACCCAAAACTCTCCTATTAGCAGCGTTTTCATTTCAGCGTTTTCGTCCAAAAACGCTAGTGCCGAACAGTTATTTACCAAACAACTTTTTCACTTATTGAAAACGTTGAAAGTGGTCAAATCGCCATTTTCCGGTTGAACGCCGTACGTTTACCAAACATCCCCTTTACCCTTACTTCTCAACATAGTTTTTTTTTTTTTTTTTTGGAAAAAGAAGATTTTATTGATATAAATAAAGAGTACAATGCGTGAAAGGGGAAAAAAGTACAAGAACGAAAAAGAGAGAAAAAAGTACAAAATTAAAAGAAAAATCATTACTGAAAGAGCAAGATAGCTAATCCCATGGGAAATCTCTAGACTGCTACCTAGTTGTCATGTTGTGGCGCCTTTTGTTTTTTTGAGATTTCCTGTAGATTTTTAGCTGCGTGTTCAAATTTTCGGTTGGCAGGCAATTTTCTGAGGTTATGAAAGTAGCTTTGCGGCAGATCGCTGTATTGAATTTGGATTTCCAAACTTCTTCTGGGTATGAGATAGGAGGACGCCGATCGCTCTCGATTGCATGTCCCAAGAAGTCATCTGTAAAGAGTGAGTCATCAGAATGGTCAAAATCATCGGATGCATCTGAGTAAGCCTGGTTCAATGGTAGCTCAGGTTGTTTCCCAAAGGAGAAGACATGGGTTTTTTCAGCATCTGCCGTCTGGATGTGATAGTTGAAAATGAGTTTGGATATGGATGTGGGGTCTTCGGTTTGTGGTACACTCCTATGATGAAGAGATAATGAGTCGTCCTGCACCGTCTTTGAGAGCCCTAGAAAATTAGACAAAATATCAAGGAATATAAAAAGGCTCGAGTAATGGCATCCCATGGGTATCCGAATGAAGCACCCCTTGTGTTTTGCCATTTTTACATAGTAGCGAGCTCTGTTAATTTCCACAGAAATCGTGAGATCTCCAAATCTCTTTTTGGTCTCAAAATTCTCCTGCGCGGTATTTGTGAGTTGGTAAACGAATCTGATGATTTCTGGGACTTCATCAAGGTTGAGGTGAATTTTATGCAGAAGGGATTTTTTAAATTGGAAGAGAACCAAATCTCTATTTTTAACTACAAATTTAAAATATGTAGTTCCAATTTTGACCGAGTCAAACCCTGATTCACCAAAAAAAGAGTATTTTTCACTGGCATTGAGTAGATCCGTAGCTTCCTCGATTACATCCGTTGTGGCCCTTTCCTTATCGTCCAATTTTTTTAAGTCAGATATATCTGCTCGGTCAACTGATTGGAGTCCAGCCTGGCCCGAATAGAGACTTATAGCAATCGACGAAGCATGGATATTATTTGAGACAAGTTCAGGCTCGTCCTTCTTGTCCGTATTCTCCGTATGAGCGCATATATGCGCTCATACTCGGTGGCGGAGCCAGAAAAACGTGTGAGGGGGTCAAAATCTAATTATAAACAGTATCAAAATTGTGAATCGTTAGTAAAGAATACTTGAGTTAAATGTTTCATATATGCTAGAGATAAAATATAGTCTAATGAGACCTTTAGAGTAATTCTATTGATATATATGTCGTGTATTACAAATTGTACACAACTAATGAGTAAATATGATGTTTTGTTTTTATATTTTGAATATAAACAATATTACAAATCAAATTTTGTTAATTTCAACTTTTTACTCTTAATGAGTTACGATGCGCATAATACGCAGTATATCAAATTGAAGGTATTTCAAAGTTTTACATTCTCGAATTTTGAGGGGGGTCGGCTGGCCTCCCTGACCCCCTTGGCTCCGCCCCTGCTCATACTTGGGAGATTTTATTCTTTTAACATTATCAAATAAATTCTATTTGAAAATGAAAACAAACTTAGTTTTTCGGCTTATCAGGATTATCAGCCAACTTTTTAATCAAACACGTAACTTTTGATTTTGCGCGTTGAATTGTGTAATAATAAGAATAAGTGAGGTTGAAATTATTTTTTTGACTGTATTGGCTAAAGTTACTGTAGATGATCATTGTAGCTATTTTTCACATTTTCCCTTTATTTTATTAATAAGATATATTTTAAATATAATATTTTATTAAATCAGCAGAATCTGCCAATACAATCACTTCAGCCAAAACTTAATACAGAGTAAATTTCAGCAGAATCGACCGATTCAGCCAATTTCAAAGTTATGGCTCTTATTCCGAGGCCGTTTGGTAACATCATTTTTCGGCTTATCAGGCTTATCAGCCAACTTTTTCACCAAACACGTAACTTTTATTTTCGCGCACTGAATTGTGTAATAAGCAGAAAAAGTAAGGTTGGAGTTGCTTTTCTGGCTGTATTGGCTGAAGTTACTGTAGATGATCATTTTAACTATTTTTACATATAATTTTTTATTTATTTTATTAATAAAATATACTACCTCCGTCCCAGGGACAAGTTCCCACTTTCCTTTTTTGGCAGTCCCAACAAAAAGTTCCCATTTCCCTAAATGGAAAGTTATCCTACATCAAAACAGTGTGAAATAGTGCAAAACAGTGTCAAACAGTGTTGAAACAGTGCCAAACAGTGTCGAAACAGTGCCAAACAGTAAAATTTACCCCTCAGTAACTTTATTTCCTTAATATGTGTGAAAGTCAACCCGGGAACTTCTCCCTGGGACGGAGGGAGTATTTTAAAAAAAAAATTTACTTAAAACAGCAGAAACAGCCAAAAGAGCCACTTCAGCCAGAACTTCATAAATTTAAGCAGAATCAGCCAAAACAGCCGATTTTCGTGCTACCAAACGGGCTCTCCTATTTTAGACTATTTCCTACTTCGTACTTTTTTATTTTATTTGAAGCCATTTCTCATCAATTTACGTCTCCAGCTTGTTTGTATTAGGAGCTTCCGTCGCTTTATTAATTCATTAATGCCCGGACAATGGTCTGTACTATCCAACTAACCGTACCATAATGTTTCGTCTAAACTTCCCACATCATGATCAGGTAGATTGTATGGTATCCCAAATGTACCGTACCTTTGTCCAAATAGATCAATAAGAATGATGCAGTTAAATTATTTAAATCTAAATTAAAAAACATATAATGATTTGGACCAATCAAATGAATACCGGAGTTTTCACCCATGATCAATTGGAATCGGAAAACAAACACCACAACCTTTGTTAGTAATATATGGTACGTGAATAATACAATAATACGTACATTCGTGTATAATACGACACACTTTTATAAAATACAGCTTAATATATGTTATATACGTTCGCCGCAAGAATACGGATACATACGCATTTTTAACGTTTAATAATTTAAAAATACGGCATATAATACGTGTCTATATATAAACTAATTTCACTAAATTTTTGATAGAAAAAAATGATTAGTTAACATCTCAACATTTTTCAATGATGCTAACTTTAAATTTTCTGTGAAAATCACACCAAGAAAACTAAAATCTAAAGTAAATCAACACTTAAGTCTCTAATAAAGTCTCAAAAATCAAAAGTAAAATTTTGAAACCCATCTGTATCATCAACATAAGTCACATAGACTTCTGAAAGGGATGAGGCCGAATGAATGAGACCAGTAAATTTCAGTCCTAGTAAAAATATCCTAGGTTGGTTTTATAGCGGATTAGTCCTCCACAATTAGTGTCAATTAATCGATCAGATTAGGCCGATTTCTAGAACAATGCTCACAATGTTTAAATTATTATCATCATTTCAAATTAGGTATTTCAGTACTTTAATAAATGTTCTATTGAATCACATAAATAAAGTTTAAAGAATTTGCCCTAAATAGGATCAAAACATAGATAAAAAGCCAAAGTAGGACTTACCATGTTTTTTCCCCATTATAGGAGTCATCCGCTCCTATTTTGAGTTGTCGCCGTTTCTCTAATGTCGATAAAGCCCCTCCTTGATCTCTCCTGCTCGTATCCTTTATCTCCGTATATGCATCTTCTTCTTCTTCAGAAATTTCCAGGTTACTCTCTTTCTCTCTCTCCTTCTGCTCTCTCCTCACTTCTTCTGTGTTTCTTTTTTTTAATCGAAAATTTCACGATCCTCTTCCCCCCTTTCTGATTTAATTGGAAACATCTCTACCATTCCCTGCCATTACTTCATCTTCTCTCTTCCCCTTTGATCCGATTGCAACACTCACATTTCAAATTGTAATGATGGGGCACCAACACTAATTTCAGAATTTCAAGTGTCCTTCATAGTGCTCTTCCTACTTCTACGCTTTCTTCTTCTTCCACTGCCTGCTCTGCTTCTAGTTCTTTTGTTTTTAAAAAATGTCATTTTAATTTGGTTCTCAAAATGACATGAAATGTCATGAAGATGACATTTACAAGAGTAAAAAACCTGGTAGTCGCTCCTCCTTCTTCACCTTCTTAAGAATGACATCAAATGTCATGATGATGGCATTTACAAACGCAAAACAAATTGACAGACACTCCTCCTTCTTCACCATTTTAAAATGATAGGAAATGTCATGAAGATGGCATTCACAGACCTAAAAACCTGACAGTCGATCCTCCTTCTTCACCTCTTCAAAAATGCCATGTTTGTTCCGAAAATGTCATCAATTTGTCATTATCACTCTTTGAAAATGTAATTAACCTTTAAAGTAAAACTGCCAGGATACATATTGTAATGCCACAATAGTGACATTATTTTCAACTTAGTGTTCAATAAAACAACTATTATGGCATTTTGAAACTCAAATCATGAGAAAAATAATAAGAATGGTTTAAATAAAATAATCAAAATTTATAACAAAATGTAATTTCAAAAGAAGAAGAAAAGGGATGAAAGGTGGAAGAAGAGAAAAACAGAGCATGAGAAGAAGAAAAGGGATGAAAGGTGGAAGAAGAGAAAAACAGAGCATGAGAAGAAGAAAAGGGATGAAAGGTGGAAGAAGAGAAAAAACAGAGCATGAGAAGAAGAAGAAGAAGAAGAAGAAGAAGAAGAAGAAAGATGAAGCTCACATGTTCATGTAGCAGGGTCGCCATTCATCGTCGCCGACACTCACTCCACCCAACTAACACCGATATGTTGTAGTCGGTATTCATCGCAGAGTTAGCAGCTTGCGAACTTGAAAGGCTTTGCAGGGCATTTTCGACATTCCAACCTAGTTTTGGTCCTACGATAACATACGGAAAAGTAGTAGTCCTATTCTAGCACTTTTCCTATGTTTTGGTCCCGTTTTGGAAATTTACTCTAAAGTTTAATGTACTCCCTAATACTCTCGGGTAAAAAATATTGACATCGAACATAAAAATGAAAAAGAATTTTCGTTTATAAAAGCTAACTGCAAAAATTCATGAGACGTATGGAAGCGAGGAATTGGACATACGATTTTGAAAAACAATATTAATGGATAGGGAAAAGGTGCAAATAGGTCCATGTACTAACCAAAAAAGGTCAAATAAGCCCTTATTTAGGAGACTTTGTCCGGCTGTCGTCATTTGGGGTGGTTCCCGGTGGAATTTTTTGATGAAATTTTTTGAGCATCTTATTCATCAAGTCTAGTTTAGTCATACCAAATTTCAGCTAAAACTTCAACCGGGAAGGCATTCAAATGAATTCTTGAAGATAACTGTGCTTCTAACTGCACAGTTATTTTCAAGAATTCATTTGAATGCCTTCCCGATTGAAGTTTTAGCTGAAATTTGGTATGAGTAAACTAGACTTATTGAATAAGATGCTCAAAAAGTTTCATCAAAAAATTCCAACGGGAACCACCCCAAATGGCGACGGCCAGACAGAGCCTCCTAAATAAGGGCTTATTTGACCTTTTTTGGTTAGTACATGGGTCTATTTGCACCTTTTCCCTTAATGGATATACGGAGTACTGAAGAATAAACTGTAGCTGACAAGGCTGGAAAAAATACGAGGCTGGAGGCTAGAGGTAGTATGGTACGCTGCTCCGTCTAATGCTTTGGTAATACCTTAGGCACTGTATTACTTGATTGGACAGATGTATTATAGTCCACATTATTACTACGTACTCCGTAATATTTTGGGGCCTTACCGCAGGGGGGCGGGCTTTGGTGCAACGGCCTTACTCTTAGTTGGACTTTTTTAATTCAAATACGTATAAATACAATATATACGAGTATTATACATTTGCCTTAAAAATACACGTATTTTAATGAATTTTTGGAAAAAATACTTAAACAGGTGAATTATATGTGTATTATACGTTTAAGCGTATTATACGTGTATTATACGCATATTAACTAACAAAGACCACAACTTGGAAGAACCTTCTACCTACACTTTAACCATTTTCCACTATTTATGAATTTGATAAAAATAAATATAATACTGAATTGAGTTTTTTTCCTAATTAATGCTAATTAATTAATTATTTACGGAAATAATGCTGGAAAAAAAGTATTTACCAAAATACTGCTGGGCCTTAACCGTGGTCAGGACAAAGTCGCCCAACCGTTGGGCGACTTATAAGTCGCCAAACCGTTTGGCGACTTATAAGTCGCCCAACGGTTGGGCGACTTTGTCCTGAAATATGGTTTCAAGCGAGCAGCTACTGCCAGCCACGCACGATCGTGCCTATTTCCTTAGGCACGATCGTGCCTATTACCTAAAACACCAAATCAGCTTGTTTTTCGCCCCGGTTCAATCCAGACCGATCTGTTTGCTACAAATAAGGTCTCCTTTCTCCTTTTGAAGTGTTACAAACTAGATACAACACATGATAATCACCTACTCTCAACAACATAAAAAACACCTTATAAACAGCGCTAAAAAACTTTCAAATCATAACCGGTATAACACAGTTCAATCATCATATATGCCATAACAAATAATCATGTAATATTCATACTTGAACACATCAATACAACATAGAATACTTAACAAGAGAAAATACATCAAAACTTGTAAATTGTTCCTACAACATCTATTGCATAAGAAAAACTACAATACAAAAGACAAACTACAAGTTCCCATCATCAGCTTCGTCATGGAGATGTTGCTGCTCATGTCTACGCCTACGGCGTTGTCGTGGTTGAAGAACCACTCTCTCATGTTGCGTCTGGGATGATGAACCCGCGGCTGCACTAGACGTGGATGCCATCTCCTGAGATGCGGGCATGTGTATAAGATGTCCGTAGTCTACTCGACCCAACACTTCTGAGCATAACGAGGCAATGCCTGTCAGAGTCTGTCCATACATGTCCACATCAGGAATATCAGTCACAGTGGCAGTAGCCCGCTGATGTATGCGCTGCAAAGCTCGGGTCTGCAATACGAAACACAATTACAATTACATTCAAATACATACAAGTATTACATAAATAAAATGACTTACTTTACTAATTAGTAATATACTCACCGTAAGATGCAATGCCAATGAGCTAGGCTGATAATGATGAGTAGGGAGTCTGAACGAAGGAGACACAAACAACCGAGTGATGCTGTAGTACCATCCCATGTAATCTCCTGAAACTAATGGCACATATGTGGGTGTCCCAGCCACGGCTAGCTCAGCTCTCCTATCCCACATAGTCACGTATCGGACATGTCTGAGTGCCCAATCCTCTGTATGCTTCCCACGCCTATCCAGCTTATGCAGCTCTACATAAGTGTCGATAGGACGTGGAATGACCTGCTCAAACCCAAACTGTCGCATGACTCTATCAGGCAAATGAAGCTCAACAATGTCAAAACATATCATCGGCACACGTGCTCGCCATATGTGAGTCTGCTCTCGTCCAGCTGGGGGCAACTCTGCTAACATATCAGGTCTATACGGCATCCATGTGATCTGTTTCGTAAACATACAAAATTAGTATTTATTCTACACCTATTCTAGTTACTGTTATACTACACACACCATACCTGGTCCTCTGACATCCGATCCAATGCATCCCTGTACACACCGAGGCCAGTAGCGGATGACATGCGAGATAAACCAGCATATAGCCACCTAACCATTAATGTTACAATATCAATAATATGGATTTTATTAATGCATTTACATTCAACAAAAACTAACACAAATACAAACGACTGAAAAAATACCGACGGCCTAGAGGGTCCACGCCCCGTACATGATGTGGTCCTAGCAGACGTGGAGGCTCATCAGGCAGTGGCTGTCCATCAATGCCATGATATCCAACTATAATGGGACGGCCAATGTGGATATACTCCCATGACCAAATCTGGAGGAGTAGTAAAAATCCCCCCAGCTCTGTGCTCCCTCTCTGGCACCCGCGACACAGCTGCCTGTAGAGATAAGCCAGGGTGGCACTACCCCAGCTAAACTGTGCTGCTACATCAAACCTCTCCAGCAAAGGCAGGTGTAGCACCTGAACCTCATTTCCGCTCTTGTCAGCGAAAATGGAGGCTCCCATCATCATCAATATATACGCCCGAGCATGCTGCTGGATGATCATCTCATCAGCGTCGGGAGGAAGGGCCTGGAAGTGCTCCCTCAACCATGGCATCCTAAGAGATGACCCCTGAAGGTCAGCCCTAAGAACGGGGCGGATGCCTAACAACCTCTCACACTCATCCACCCACTGTCGACAAGCAGTGCCTGTAACAGCTCTCCCATCAACCTCTAACCCAGTCAGTACAGCCACATCTCCCAATGTCACGGTGACCTCACCAACAGGGAGGTGAAATGAATGTGTCTCCTGCCTCCAACGCTCAAGTAGAGCAGTGAGGAGGGCTCTATCTAAAGGCACAGTAGCCACTAACCTGTGCAGTGTAAAAAAACCTGCTGCACGAACATATGCTAGGACTCTGGGGTCGACATGTAAATGGGACAAACCCCGCAGATGCTCGCGGCACCTATCAACCTGCACATCCATGCCAAGCCAAACATCCTCACTCCTGTGTGAGGCCTGTAGTGTCAGGACAGAAGGATCACTCGGCCCAGGATCCGCTATCACCTCCATGCCTACAAACAAAATTTGTATTAGTTCTTATTGTATTAGTTGTAATTGTATAATGTATTACATTTTTTTTAACTTCCTTTTTTGAAGTTATTAATTTTCCTTGCAAAGAAATAATGAATTATGATTGACTCTAAATATACACATACCCGGCGGACCCCCCCTCTTGTCTAGATGATCTCTTTGCACATGTCGCTCTATTATGGCCGGTTTGGTGGCATCTTCCACATCTAACCGTTCCTCGTGGGCCTTCATCCATCTCATTCTTAATACGGGTCGACTTTGGTCTTCCCTTTGCCCGAAGCATGGATGGATCGTGCACGATTTCGGGTCCATTGTAATTTGGCCAATAATCACGATCAGGAATCGGTTTGAACACCCTATGATACGTGGCGGCGTATTGGTCAGAAGAGAAGAACTTATCCACAAATGGAGCATAAGACAAACTACGTTGTCTACACACGGCTAATACATGGGAGCAAGGAATCTTGTATATCTCCATCTTTTTGCAAGTGCACGTTTTCCGTTGTAGATGGACAGTTTGTTTTCTCCCACCCTTTCCCAACGTTCTGCCACCACAACCGGTCTCCACCTGAAATATACCTCGCCCTAAATCAAAAGGAGTGACAATGTGATGCTTTGCCTTCTCTCTATTTTTTTCAATTAAATCTGTGATGTATGGGGAGTACTCGTGGCCTTGTGTGAGCCTCAACTTACTAGTTTCACGCCTATTCACAAAGTACGCATTAACCCGGTAAAAAGACACCTGGACCAAGGCTGTAATGGGCAAATATCTAGCATTTTTCATGACGCTATTGAAAACCTCAGCCAGATTTGAAGTGATGGTACCGTATCTGTACCCGCCATCATGGTGCAGCGACCACATTTCTGGAGGAATGTTGGCCAAAAATTGTCGTGCATCCCTACTCATTTCACCTATCTTCTTGAACCCACCATCAAATTTTTTTTTCTGATGTTGCCGTGCGGTCCACACAAATAGATTTTTTAAATGAATGTCTTTGAAATGAGTGTGCACATTTGAAGCAAGATGACGGATGCATAGCCTATGATGCGCATAAGGCTCCTCCCAATTACTTCCAACCTCATTCATTGCCCTAACAATACCTCCATGTCTATCTGAAATGACACACAACTCCCTGTTAGTCACAAAATGCCTAATACATGCCATAAACCATGGCCAACTGTCTCCATTCTCGGATTCAACAACTGCAAAGGCGACTGGGAAAATTTGGTTGTTCGCATCACAACCCATGGCCACGAGCAATGTGCCCTTGTACTTTCCATACATGTGTGTGCCATCAAT